CCTGTCGAGGTCCCTCTGGATGGCAAGAAGACATTGAAGAAGACTTCCTCTTATAAGAAGACAACCACTTGAAAAGTGCCATTGTGTAGCTCATATATGCAATTGCCTATATCTGCTAGATCATAACGTAACTGAATGTATATATAACAGAAACCTGAAGAAAGACCAGACAGTCCACTGTCTTCAGACTACATTTACTATTTAGTTATAGTACCACCAGGATGAAATCTGCTACTGGTGAATATTTTAAAGAGAGAATAACTTTAAAATACATCATCATTATTATTATTATTTTGTTAAAAGATTTGGAAAATTTGGCTCTCATAAGGATTTTTAAACACCGAGATATCTGAAATTAAGTAAACGTAGAAACATCTGGTTAAACAGAGCTGCACAGAAAATAATGCTCTGAAGGACAAACTCTGTCTACATATTTCAGCTGTTAACTATTCCCATTTAGCTTGTGATCTACTACGGAAAGACTCAGAAGAGGACAGTATGATTTAGGGAAGGAAGTAAGCTTTGTGAGTCTGCTGCTCCCTTGGGATGCCATGAAGCTCTAAGAGCAGAGCAAGACATAATACACACAAGCACACAGCAGAGATTTAGAATTCAGGACGAGATTTGAAGTTTGACAATGAATTTGCAGTGAGAATGTTTATGAAAAAGTCAGACTATATTAAAAACAATTAAGGATGGCAAAATCCAGCCAAATATTCCTTCGGTTTGTGAGCAGTCCCACAGCAATCAATGGAGAAGCACTAAAATAATACCACCATGAGTACAAGAAGCCCTTGAACACCACACAGTTCAGCAAAACACACCTGCCAGCCCTACAGATCTTGACAGAGAGTAACCTCTTTTATCAGTCATCTACTTTTTTCTACTTATTCTACCAACTGTACATCAACTGATAAAACTAGCAAGTTTGAAAGTGTCCCATGCCACAACCTTGCCTTTGGGAGCAATTTCATCACACAAGCCCCGCCACCACGAGGAACTGAACTGTTTGCTGTGCTGATGCCCTCCCTTCCTGAACAAACAAGGCAACCAGGTAGAGACACTACAGCAGCGCACCTTAGGCAGGCAGGAGGGTTGAGGTTCCAAAGGCCTATTGACTCAACTCTCTGTTAAGTCCAGCCTCATTTCATAATTCAGGTGTCCTGACCCTCCACTCCTCCCAGCAGTGTAGTGCAATATAAAGCACTCACTATGCATCTGCCAACACAAGAAGGGCCAGCAGCTCTCCTACCAAGGATGGACTCTCACTGGCAGAGAAGCTGGAATCATCGTTCCTCTTTCTATGGTGAGGTAAGTGGATTTGGATGCTAGGAAGGTACCCTAGCAGGCTCCCCTTACCCTGCGACTCTTTTTTCTGACTTACAGCCAAGAAAAGCCAGATATTACAAATTCCCTGGCACAGGCTGAGTAATGCTGACCCTAGATGCATGCTGCTTTGACACCACAGGAAAATCCATGTAACCCTGCTACGGCAAAGAAGCAGCAAAGAGCACTCAAAAAACATTTCCTAAGTTCAGGGACTCATTCTTCTCAGACATCCTTCTGCAGTTTGACTTTATGTAAGAGCAGGGCAGAAACGATCTTTAGTCCCAAATTCCTGCAACCCTTTTCACAGCTGCAACATACATCAGAGAACAAAAAAGAATTTGCACCTAACCTGCCACATGGAAGTCATGGAAGTTTTGCCCAGTGGCAAAACCAGTAATAGCTGGAGTTGGAAAGAACAGAAGCAGCTGGACAAACTGGCTGAAGAGAGTATTAAGGAAGGCCAACCGCGTCCTGGGCTGCATCAAGAGGAGCGTGGCCAGCAGGTCGAGGGAGGTGATTCTCCCCCTCTACTCTGCCCTCGTGAGACCTCACTTGGAGTATTGCGTCCAGTTCTGGAGTCCCCAACATAAGAAGGACATGGACCAGTTGGAGAGGGTCCAGAGGAGGGCCACGAAGATGATAAGAGGGCTGGAGCACCTTTCCTATGAGGACAGGTTTCCTATGAAAGAGTTGGGCCTGTTCAGCCTGGAGAAGAGGAGGCTCCGGGGTGACCTTATAGCGGTCTTCCAGTACCTCAAGGGGGCCTACAAGAAAGATGGGGAGAGGCTGTTCAGGAGGGCCAGTTGTGATAGGACAAGGGGTAATGGTTTTAAAATAGAGGGAGGTAGATTCAGGTTGGATATTAGGAAAAAATTTTTTACCATAAGAGTTGTAGAACACTGGAACAGGTTCCCCAGAGAGGTGGTGGATGCTCCATACCTGGAGACGTTCAAGGCCAGGTTGGACAAGGCCCTGAGCAACCTGATCTAGTAGAAGATATCCCTGTTGCTTGCAGGGGGGTTGGACTAGATGACCTTTGAAGGTCCCTTCCAGCCCTAACCATTCTATGATTCTATGATTCTATGATTAATTGCTTCTTGCTGAACTTCACTGCTACTGAAAGTAATGCAGAAAATAGTTCAGCTGAGAGACTAGCACAGCTGCTCCACCAGCCCCCAGACTAGAAACTGCATGACAGTTTGCAGCTTCATCTAGTCTGCTGCACGACAGCAGTCACCCGCAGATGGCAATCCACTTGAGCTTATATCCACAGCTGAAATTTCAGCTACTAAAAGATAAATTCCTAGTTCTGCAGAGGTAAGGTAAACTTGTGAAGACAAACAGTTCAAACAATAGTTCATCAAACACTTGCGGATTTGGAGTTGTGATGCTTTTCAAATCATTAATTAAGCAGAATGCAGCTATGTGACTGAAGATCTACGAAATAGTTTTCAACTATTATAAGAAGGGAAAATTATAAAATTAACAATGGAGGCATTTGACACTTACCTCACCATTGTTGTGATAAGCTCTCTCCCATGACTACCCTCTAACATTCTCCTGTAAACTCCACTTATATTCAAAAGACAGGGATATCTACGTACCTGGGCTTACAAAACTCCAGAACCACAACTGGCTCCAGAAGTTGCATCTTGATTATTTTGAAAGAATTAACTCCCAAACTCTTTGCTAAGCTCCAGGCAAGCATGCATTAACTTAATAGGAGAAAAGCATCTTCTACACAATGGCACCATAACATTAAATACCAAAATTACACAAACTGTGATGAGAATTTAATTAATCTGTACTCAGATAACACTTCCCTCTTCCCTCCATCTACAAAAACTCACTCAGCAAGTGCAAAGGTCAGTCTCCCACTTTGCAATACTAAGCACTTCTCAGTAGCTCATGAAGAGTCACAGAAATACTGACTGTCATTGAGAAATACTGACAACGAGCTGCAGGCTACTGGAGTGTGAAAATCCTACCCATGTCTAACAACTGGGAAACAATACACACTCAAAAAGATTTTCTTAAAAATTCATTTTTAATACAACTTACTTGAAGTTTTGCTAGCTGAGCTGTGCGAGACACTATTTTGTTGTAGGGGTCGACAATTTTGACTCTAATTCTAAAAACAAGAAGGGAAAATTATTTATAGCAGTATTAATAAATAACATGATAGAATAATTAAGAATTTATGCTTTCTAATAGCATAATGAATGGCATACCTATCGACAGTACTTTGTAGAGCACCAATTCTAGTCTGCATCATTTGGAGGACACCTGCAAAACAAAGTAGATTTTTTACATGGAACACTTGTTAATTATAGCAAAAACTAGCCTTCACACCATAGTAACTACTGCAGACTACTTCAGCGTAAAAAAAAAAAAAACACGTCCCTCTTTACAACAAAGCATTCAAACAGACTGAAATTAATAAAACACAGCATATTTGGTAATACACTGAGCAGGTAATACCTCACTTACTGAATGTTATGGAAAATTTATTGGTAGACAACACAAAACTATAGAAGAAATATCACTCTGCAATTCATCATATGTTAAGTTTCAATTAATATTTAGAGTATATTGCTTTCTAAGAGAATGATGATCATGACTGCTGTTCAAAGACGTGTAACCTGGTATAAACACCTGAATATGATATACAAAAAGGGCACAACCTATTTAACACTATTTATTTAACATAGTGACTAGCCAATTCACAGAAACAAACAGGCAAAGAGGACTGAGAAGATAACCAATTCTATTTTACGGTTTTCTTCCTGTGCATAAGCATCTTCAGCAAAAAGTATCAATGTCATTGTGAGGTCATCTAATTTAGATTACAAACAGAGCAAACTACCCTAATCATGTTTGCTCCAGATTAGTTTGGCAAAGCAGCACAAAGAAAGCCCACAAGCATGCTTGTTCTTTTCTTGTTAAATTGCAAACAAAGTAGTCAAGAGTGGCAGTCATTTTTGCAATATGGAATCAGCCTGCTGAGAATTTAATTAAGTTACGCAAACCCAGGCCCGTGAAATTATTTTTGTTCCACTTATTGTTAGCATTCTCAAATACACTACATTTTTGTAAAGCCCTGTTTACAAGCATGTCATCATCAAATTAGATAAGACTGCAATATGACACAGTAAGATGGAAGATAAACAAAACCACTGCTAATACTTTTATTCAGCTTGTCCTGCACTGAGACTATATGTCACTCATTTTGTATAAATATGCAAACTCCCATCTTCTCCATATTTCAGAACTATCAACTTGGCTTAGCGACAGACTCAGGGGGTCTCTGACATTTACACACGGAATGGTAGCCATGCGCTGCTCATACATCCGCGAATGAAGATATGAGATACAGTGCAAAGTTGGCAGCATAGGCTGCATTTTCTCCTCTACATCGCAACAATGAGGGAGGGCCAGAAGCATGACAGTGCTGCATCTATGACTGTGACATTGCTGTAAAGCATACAGCAGTCCTCTTGACAGAAGGCAGAATTAGGACAGGTGAAAAAGCAATCTACCTTCTCCCTCTGCTGCGCAGGATACAGGATGATACTATTTAGCCTACCTTGACCTAACAGGTAGCTAAAGACACCTATTGAGCTACCTATAGGCAGAAAAGAGTATGCATACCAGATCAGTGTACCATTAAAAAAGTGCACAGACCTAAAAAAGAAAGGACTGTACAAGCTGGGTATATCAATTTGAAATGTTTAATGAGAGTCACTTTCACGCATCCAAATGATTGTGCATGCTGTGAATGAGTTCCATAATCTTCACTGGCAAACTTTCTCGATAAACATACCAAGAGCTATGTGTTTCTAATTTCATAGTTAAAATTTCTCTTGACATCCATCCATCTTTTCTTTTTCTTATGAATCTTGACTCAGCTTCTTCTACAGTGACTACAAATCATGTGTAGCACAAGCAGGGCAGAAATAAGAAAGTTTTGCAAAACTTAAAACATCATCTTTGTGTGCATAGACTTTTGATTTTCCTGGCAACTGCAGACTGAAGTTTCTACTGATGCCTCAAGTATCAAATGCTTTTCAGGATTAGAACCTCTGCATGCTTCTCCTTCCCTCATACACAAAAAAGGCCTCTTGAAGAGCCTAACACTAAGTAAATGGAGATATTTCAACAAGTTCAAGGTGAGTTAGATTTTATTTTTACTTTGGGTTATTAGCCATAAAACACGCATTATTTACCACATCTGCCTTATAGAAATGTTTTATAACTGAATAGTTGTTTTGAAGTACTTCATTCCTTCCTCACAGAAATTTTAGGAAGGAATGCCTTCAGAAACAACCACGATTTCAGAAAATACAATTCCACTGAGCACAAATTGCTGAAGGTCATGACTGGGAGGTATTTATCAGTCACAAGACGGACTACAGGTTCCTATCGACTTCTTATTTGGAGGATGAACACAGATTTCAGTCTTCTATGCTTAATTTTCCAAATGTTTAAAAAGCTATTTGGGAGCTACCACTGCTAGATTAAATAGGCATTTATTCATTTTATAGCTATATGCAAATACTAACAATCGAATACTGTATCCAACAAGCTCCAAAGGCTAAAGAGATACTGTAACTGTCAGTAACCAGAAACTCTCTGGTTATGCCAAAACCTGGAAGCAGAAAAAGGAACAAAAATAAATTACTTAATGAGTTACAAAATGGAAGGTTAAAAGGGGATATGCTTAGATCCCATAGTATATGCAAAGTTTTTTACAGATGTAAACACCATTCTGCACAAAAAAAAATCCAAAATCATATGAAGTTCCCAGCAAGTGACAAAGAGCAGAATGGCAGGTCTAATGAGCTCCTGGCACAAGAAGAATATACAGCAACTATTTTCCTATACAGATTCTACGGTTCCTAAGTAAGGCCTTTGAAAGTCAGCAGTTTATGTCAAAATCCAGATCCCAAACAGTGGAATAACACAAAAGTATACACTTAACTTAGTAGCCCCTTTACTAGGAAAAAAATATCTCAATGTAGTTAAGATTATGTGTTAAAGCCTCTTTGGTTAAGATTTGCAAACTTGCAAACACATGCATATGCAACATGCACAAATTCAGTCCTTACAGCAACAGATATCAGCTAACGTTGCAACAAAATTAGGCTTATTTAGAAAAATATATCAAAAGTTTGATTGCTGAAGTTGCTCAGAACTGATCACCGAAATACATTTTCCTATGAAATACTCCAGAGATATCAGCCAAATCTTCTCCCTGGAGCTCCATCTACTGACATCAAAAAAAAGCTGCCACATGTTACTGCTCAGAAGTAAGATCTGCAGCCTTAACATCAAGGGCCAAAGTTGGCAGTGAATGACATTTCTTGCACAGATATTGAAAGTGCTTCCTCCATTGCAAGAAGTAACAAGCACAATATAATGGTATTTACCTTCCAGGGACTCAATTCCAGTTGCTTGGGCCAACAGGTCTTCATGTCTTGCAACAACCTTAAAAAGAATAGATAAATCAACACAGAAAAATTGAGATGTGTGCCTGAAAGGAATATTAATATATCATCATCTTTCCTACATTAGGCATACACAGGAAAAAGCAGCCACATCTTAAAGATGAAAGGGTTTTCAGAACATGTTCTAAGTCACAAAAGTAGCAAGCTCAGAACAGGAAGAGGGTCAGTAACTGCAGTGTAGCTGAAATCCTAATTAAAGCCAGCAGAGCAATCACATTTCAACACACTTTCACATATAATTGTAAATGTAAGCTTATTAATCACACAGTAATAATGTATATTCACATTTTTAATATTTTCTTTTCTATTTATGACATTTAGAAACTAGATCCCAAAGAATTTGCCAACTGGGGCAGGGAGAGGGAGGAAGAGGTTTTGCAAATACACACAAACTTAGCATGTGATCTCATTACAAGGTCCACTGTGGATTTGTGGTATTTGCTTAGATTTTACCAAAAAGCCTTCTACTATCCAAACTCAAAAGCCTTTGTGGAGGTGTGTTAACATAGCTTATTATCTGCCCAGCTAAAGATATGCCTTAGAGCCTATGTTACTCTCCAGCACAGGATGAAAGGGTGCAAGTCACATCACTCCCTATCTTCTCAGAATTGTCATCCCAAAACACGGGACAGAGCTTCTGATAGCTGACATGATCATTTGGAAAGTGTCAAGGAACATCCTTACGAGGAGTGGAACCTCCATGTATACAGAGATGGACTGCAAGACACTGGAAACAAAGCAGTATACAGCTTCTTGGTAGGAATACTAAGAGTGGGCTTGACTGAGTTAAGTTTCAGATTTGCTACCAGTTTTGCAGCATACTGTACCTTTAGTTACTGCTTACAGAGTACACTGGGCAGCTTCGGAAGTAACAGGATCATACAATTACTAAGTTTTTGACTAGTTTTTATCAACCACCCCAGAATAACAGGTATGCTTTAAACTTACTTGTAAATGAAGCTCTTTATCCAACTGACTAATACCTTGGGCAAGTTTTGCTAGTTGCTCAGCTATCACAGCCTGATGGATAGACTGGGAAGTGTAAGCTTTCACATCAAAGTCTTCTCTGAAGAAGTCAGTATAACATTCTGAAAAATATTTAGATTTTATCTACATGCTTCAAAACAGTTCAATAATATTTACAAATCTAAGCATACAGTTCTCTGATCTTCAATTTCTCCAAATGTAACAGCATATGTTCTCTACATCACGTAATATAAACGTGGCACCAATTTGAGAAGAGATCACAGTCAAGAGAAACAAGTTTGGAGCTGAAGAGGGATGTGTAAAAGGTGATAGACACTCATATTCCTACATTCCCCACAGCCCTTTCTTGAGTAGAATACACTAAAAAGTATCAGTATCTTCTTCAAACTTTACAGTGTAACAGAGCTGAGGCTGTTGAGGTTGTACCCGTAACCAAACACACACCAGTCACCTTCCAATCCCTGAGGATCGAAGTGGCATGAGACACAACTTCACCAAATCACGCCAAACTCTTACAACGGTACTGGTTTATAAAATACTCGATTAAGAAAAGATACGGCAATGATGATTTCGGATCAAGAGCCGAGTTTCCAGACAGCGCATATTAATACTGCCAAGCACTTCTGTCTCCTTTCCACCTCGCAGGACCGTGCCACCAAGACCCCTCTGCCCGCAGCGGGAGGTCTCCTCCCCGAAGAGGACCACTGGCTCCTGCAGCCCCCCCG